AAAATATATCTACATTTATGACAGACCAAAGTTTAATATTTACAGAACTCACGAATCAGTGGTATGCTTTTAAAGACGAGAGAATAGACATACAACAGAGAAAGAGGTTCAAGAACACAAATATGTCATTTTTTAAAAATAGCCAGTAAATATGTTCAACCTAAGTAGGATTTTTAAAAATCATGTTATAAAGCAGTAAGATTTTTTTTTTGCCTTTGAAATTGGCAAAATAAAAAGGACTAGATTCTCCTCCATGACAAGGTTGAACATAAACAGGGGGTTTCTTTTGGTATTGGTGTTTGGGGTAAATTGGGGCCTTGTTGAAAGCAATTCAACTCAAACCTTATAAAGCCTGGAGCCTAAAATTCCACATGTACCCATTTAACTTAGGAAAGCAAGGATCTGGCTAGCGACGTCTCTGCTGCACTTGGCTCAAGACTCCGGGTATTAAAGAAGCTACACAGAAGGAATTGGATTAGGGCCATTGTGAGCAGACTTATTTGAGAAGTTCACTCTGCCAGCATCATACCTGGCACCTCTCACTGAGGCGACAGTGGAAACCACCTTTGATGTTTTCCACTCAAATAACCTGTTGATCTCACGGAGTGAGCCCTCTCTGACTATGCAGACCTCCCTAAGGCGGGCAGATCACTCTTGCCGCAATGCCTTGGGACCCCCTTCTGCATGTGGAGCCAGCTCATCAAGGCCCTTTCTTCAGGCAGCCCCATGCCAAGGAGTCTGGGCATGTGCAGATGCTCCAGGTCTTCTGAGGACACGCTGGGCAGTCATCATCATGGCATCATTCAGCTCTTGTCCAATGTCACTTAACTCCCTCGGTACCCAGGTTCTGTTTCCAGACTCTGTCCATCATCCTTTTCCACGTAGACCATCTATACGACGTATACGTGTATATGTAAATGCATATGTTCATGTATGCATAAGCACGAATCAGTAAACAAAACAAAACTTCTTGCACTGAACCAATTCCAATGGATAGGGCAGGGGTGGGGCATGTCCGGCCGAGGGCCACATCACGCCCACACAATCATAACCGAACGTGCACCTCACCAAAGAGAAGCAGTTACATATTCATAGCAAGCTCGTTTTTTGGTTGATCATTTTGAATGACCTACAAGTAATCTTAAAATATCCAGATGGCTCTTGGCAGAAAAAAGGTTCCCCATCTCTATTACATAGGAGGCCTGGTGGTGTCGTGGCTACACACTGGGCTGCAAGCTGCAAGGTTGGCACTTCAAAACCACCAGCCATTGCTCAGAAGAAAGATGGGGCTTTCTACTCCCGTAAACAGTTACAGTCTCAGGAACCCACAGGGGATTGCCACGAGCCGGTATTGACTCCGTGGCAGCGAGTTTGTTGTGGTCTGTTCCCTCTATTAGACAGGGTTTTCAAGGCTGTAAATATTTACCTCATCTTTTTTGGCAGAGGTGTTGGTGGGTTTGAACCACCGACCTTGCCATTAGCCGTCCAGCGCTTACTCTACAGTGCAGCAGGGCGCTTTGCACACCTCAAACAATGTAAAATGTTTACTCACATCCTGATCCTCTTGTCTTCCGTCCTTCTGAACTAGAGTTGTCACAGTGGTGTTTATAAATAGGTGAGGGTGGGGGAAATCTAGTCATCTAACCACAGGGGGTTGGTATCTGAATACATCCTGGTCCACTAATACAGTGGAATATTATTCCATCAAAGAAAAATGATGAAGCGGACCGTGTCATAACGAGAATTATATCTACCATATATCATGGAGAAAAGTTACAAAATAGATTTTCTTAACAGAAGAATGTCTATGTGCAAATTCCATCAGTTAGAAATTTCCAATTTGGGGGATTATGGTTGGTTTCAATGCTCTTATTTCTGCTGCTTATCTCAACTTTATAACTTTTAAAATGACTATTATTTTAGAAAACAGAACATTATTGCAATGAATGGCACATAACCACACACACCCAGCCAGGGGGAACAACAGAAACCAGAGGGGAAGGGAGACAGTGGTCAGTGTGAGATATGAAAATAAGTAACAATCTACAATCTTATCAGGGGGCCACAAGGGTTGGGGGTGGGGGGAGGAGAGAGGAAAAAAAAGAGGTGCTGATCCCAAGGGCTCAATGGAAAGTAAATGTCTAGCAAAGAATGACAGAATATATGTATGAATATGTTGGAAACAACTGATGTATGGTTTGGAACAAGAGTTGTAAGAGCCCCCCCAATAAAATGATTAATAAAAAAAGACCCCAGAACATTATACGTGAAACAACTCAAAATGGAATGTTAATCTCTCTGTGTGTGCATGTATGCACGCGTGTGTGTATTCAACCTCCAGCCTGCATGTTTTCCACCATGGTGAGCCCCATTGAACTTCAAAATTGTACTTGACCAGAGCAGTAGCCGCAACACCTCACTTTGCCTCGGGTGGGGCAGGAGTACTAGGAGCTGAGAGGCCACCTGAGGTACAATACTGATCTAGAAATGAGTACAGCCGAGGACTCTCAGTCAGGCCCTGCATGAATCATTTCTATACCTTTAGCAGCAGAATCATTTTTCATTTCCCCCCAAATGAAATCTGACTTAGATTACAAATCACCAACAGTCATTGCCTTGTCCTGGTCGAAGTAAGAGCTGCACCACCCTGACACCCCCAATTCAGGGCCCCAGGTTTTCACAGTAGCTCTTGCAGAAGCTTTGATAGGTTTTCAAAACAACAATTTGGAAAAGAAACACAGTAATTGGTTTCAAGAAGGTAACTTCTGTTTCGGCCACAAGCAAAGTCCATCTGAAGTTATTCTTGCCTCTCCAGCATAGCTCTTCCCTGCACAAAGTCCTGAGTCCCTTAGGCCCTCTGCCTAGAAAGCCTTCTTCACTACGTCCACCTCCAAGCTCTCACAAATCCCAGAGTCTCTTTAGTCCTTTCTGACCTCCAAGGCCTTAGAAAAGGCCGCGCTTCGCCTCATTTGTAGCCCGTAGTCCTGTTATGACTATAACACTCATACAGTTATGTGACAGGAAGTCTAAACTGTTCTAAAAATACTGTCCAAATGAATCCTGTGGCTGGAATTGAAAATGCCCCGCCTGACCATGAACTCCCTCACATGTCCGTTTATATCCACTCGTTTATAAGGGAGTGTAGGAGTCATAACTGTGGTTCAGACCCACATAAGAAGAAACTGTAAGATCCCATGGGAAGTAGTGACATCAATAAAAGAAGGAGTATGTCCCTACCAGACCCAGCCACAAAGCTTAAAGACAGGAGGGAAAATGGTGGTTCCCAAGGGAGTGAAATGTTCTTCACTTGAAATCCCTGGAGCCCAATCAATCTGTTAGCAAATATGTGTTATAGGGATAGAAGTGGCATTCCCAAACCACAATAACTGTTCCATTTCTTTGCTCAAGATGCTTTGGGAAAAAAAAAACTAGGGGAGGGAGGTCAATTGTACAACTAGTAGAAAGGTGGTCAGTCTATGGCATCGGTAGCCCATCAATCCGTATCCCAGAGGAAGTGAAAGCCATGCTAACAATGCTTACAGGAAAGGATCTAGCAGGAGGGATGGGAAAATGGCAGATTTTTAGGAGCAAATTGTTAGGAGCAAAGGGAGCTCAAGGGTCGGCAAACTTTTGAGACTGAAGAGCCAATCTTGTCCCCACAACAATTTAAAAAGTATTCGAGAGTCATAAATATATATTTACCAACAAATGAACTCACCATTATCTGAATAATAGCCTTTAAGTATTTACCTATTAAAGTTTGATTTCATTTTCAATTTTACTTCAGAGCCACATGCACGTACCGAAAGAGCTGTATATGGCTCTCAAGCCAGTGTGCCGACATCTGATTTCTAGAGCAACAAAGAGAGCATAGTGAACCTGCCCTGGCCTTGGGTTCACTAAGAGAGGCAACAAGAGAGAGAGAGGAAGCTGCAAGTCCAGCTGTCAGTAGGTTAGTGTTGGGCTAGCAACATGTAGCTGGAAATGTTAAGGTGTACACAACACAGATCAGTGAGAGCTGGGGCATTCAGGGTTTTCACTCCATTCTTCTTATTTGTTCACACGAATGGTAGTTTGACAAGGTTAGGGCCGACGTACTATGAGATTACCATACCCTATCTATGCACAACCTAGCCCTTGTGGCACTGTCGGGTAGGCGATGGACTGTTCACCTCGAGGTCAGGCTGTTCAAGTCCACCCTCCTCTCCAAGGGAGAAAGATGAGGCTCTCTGCTCCAGTCAAGAGTTACCACCTCAGAAACCCTATACAGCGTTGCTGTGAGTCAGAATTGACTTGGTGACAGCAAGGTTGGTTTTTAAAATTATATAGCAGAAACATATCCCCATGCAAAGTTCAGTCTCTATGAGCCAACACACATAAAAGCTGTGCTTAAGGGGTTTCTGTTTGTAGTAGAAAGTTAACAGACTAGATTACATCATCATTTACCTATGAGTGACTTCACTTCAAAATTTAGAAAAAATAAAAAAGAGCTACATCAAGAACAAAGTTTTGTCGTTTGGCATGGACGTAGTGCAAGGGTGTCCACAAATGCAGGCAATTGTTGATTATACCAGTTTCATCTAGCAGTAGATGAAAGGGAAACATTTCAAATTATCTAGGACACATCTGGAGCAGAATATATCCAATTTCTCCACATTTTCTAAAGGAAGTCAGATTATTCTAAACCTCATTCATCACTTAACTCCTCCCTCCACTTCTTTGATTCCGAAGTTCCACATGACAAAGTCATATACTTGCCTCGGTTAAAATTATGTGTTAAAATTTATATATCTACAAATGTATGTATTCATTTAACTTCCATGGAATCAATGAGCAACTCTCATTAATATGTCATTGATCTAATCTATTTTATGTGGAAGCATGTTAAAGGAAGACAGATTATTTAAATTCAAATGTGTAAAATTATATGCATATACTAATATTTACACAGCTTTGTTACATGAATGCTAGCTATTATTAATGACTGCACTATCAAACACTCAAAAGTTCTGGCAAAGAGCTAAGAAAGGAGGCTCTTCAGTTAAGAAGGAGCAGTTGGACGCAACGTTCAGGAGTTCTTCTCCCAAGACCGACTTCTCTGGGCTGCTCTCACTTCCATTCTTACTGTCATCATCACTTCTGGATACAGTGAAAATTCCCCTTTTAGAATCCAAATCATCACTTACAAAAATAAAAGGGCATCACCGTATTCCCCAAGATATACATGTGCATTTGGGAAAAAAAAATACTTTTAGGAACATCTTGAACCGTGAAAGTCACGATGCTATGAAAAACAACCATGAAAAACCATCCAAATCTGAATAGGCTTGTATCCTGAAGGGGCCCAGAGGAATAGCAAAGGGTCGGTTTAAGATGAATACACGTTAAGATAACAATTTTAAAGCCAAACTCACAGCCGTACGGCCCATAGCAGCCCTGCCTTGGGTGCCTGAGCCTGTGAGCCTTCACGAGAGCTGACTAGCTCTTGCTCTTCCCCAGGGCAACTGGTGGGTTTGAGAGTGCCCGCCCTGATGGTAGAAACCTATTACCTGTTCCACAGCCCCCCCGCTATCGAGATAGCGCTTTGAGAGTCTCATTGCCTCCACATCTTCTCTGCCTTGTCGCTGGCGCTTTTCAAGCTTCATAGATATCATCTCCCACCCAAAACCAAAGTGCACAATTACGAAACTCCGAGGGTCATGTTTACTGAAGACTTTTACCTCCGCTTCTGTTCAGCCCGCGGAGGAAAGTGTTATTGGCAGGGTGGTGGTAATACAGGCCCCATCAGTGATTGACTCATGTCTTCTTTCCTGGCTCCAGTCGTCACCAACTCTGAAACGTTCTCCTAGGACTCCAGCCATCCAATCAGGGCGTGGTTTGGCAAAATCAAACCAACAGGTTGTTGTGGAGCCGATTAAAACCCGCGGAGACTCCACCGGTATCCGTGCTCCAAAGGGTTTCCCAGGGCAGAGTTTTGAAAACCAGATTTCCTGAGTGTCTCTGGGTGAATGTCACCCTTTTCGTTAGCAGCCAAACTGCTTAGGCCAGGGCTCCCTACCAACTCTACCCACCGCGGATTCACAACGTGATGGGCAAATGATAGCCACATGATAACCAGAGCAAACTAATTTGGGGAACTAAACACACACTGTCAAACGTAACTCAATGGGAATGAGGGGATTTATGACTGAGCAAATAAAATATCTGATTTAACAAAATCCATACTTTTTAGGCCAACTTGTTTTTACTTTGAATATTGGGGTTGGTACCCTCCATAATTAAAAACACACGGTGTTCTACCGCATAACTGCAGTGTCATAGCAATTTCTATATAAAGGTATACAAACTCAACATTTTTTTATCTATACTAAAATGGCTTTAAGAACATTCTTAGAAAAATATAAATATATGGTTACTTACTCAGATAAGTTACCTATTTTTAATGGAGTAAAATTTTAAAGTGTTAGCACTTAATATTTGGTAACATTAACTTACCGACATATCCAAATACAAATAAGAATAACAAGATATCAAAAAAGCCTTCAATAACCGTTTTTAAATATCTTCATTTGCAATGACCTTTGATCAGCAATGTTTGCCCTAAGAAAAGGTGTTATCAAAAAACAAAGGGGTGGCAGACAAGTGAAAGACATATCAAACTTTAAAATTTATAGTTGAAAGAATACTCACACTTTTGACTCCCTCGTAGTGGATACATCCTGAGTTTTTCAATAATATCAACCATAATTAAGGTGGTCAGAACCAGAGATACTGGCAGGTCTGGTAAGTTGTCAGGTAATACGGTAGCATTCATGTTCTTTTGCACCTGTGTTTAGAAATCCATTTAAAACATGGAGTCATGGTTCAGTCATTATTAAAATTATTTTTGTAATTTAAAGGCAGCACTAAATTAATTAAAAATACATTTACTAAAAACCTCAGAAGCTTCATTTTCAGCTTCTGGAGCTCTAAATTCCATAAGATCCTGGAACCATTTCTAAAGCGTGAGCCACTGTGATGAAAAGTCCTATCGACGAAAGAGCTTTCCCTTAAAGGTAAAGTTTGGTAAATGAATGTCAACTATAATAGTAGTTTCCCCGTGATGGTGGAATGGCTAATTCTTTCCAGTCCTGTTGGTGAGCACAGCATCTGAGAATCTACAGCTAAGAGGACAATAGTTAGAGTGGAGGCCAGCCAAGGAGGGAGAGCCCAGGTAAACACAGCTAGGTTTGGGGTACTTTCATCATCTGATTAGGAAACTTACAACAACAAAAATGTCTATGGCCTGTATCAAAGTATTGATGAAATATTTTAAAATTTCCCCTGAGATCAAAGTCAAGACTAAGACTTCTAGTCAACATTGTATTGAAGACCCTAGGAAGTCTATTGAAAGAAAGAAATAATAGAGGAAAATGAAATATCATTATTCACAGAATAGGTGAATGCATGTGAAAATCCCCCTAAAATTTGATAAAACTATCTCTACATGCCAATAGAAAATAAGACTTTAAACTATGATGCATTTTTTTCTTCAAAAACTCAGGTGTCGAAGGGATCAGGTATATCAAGGGCCCATGAAGGAGGGGGGAGGGAACGGAGGGAGGGG